ATCTCTGTGGTAGGATGTACTAACTCTTGCCTATAGATTCCACTGAACATGATACAGAATTGAGCGTTTTTTGGGGTTTTATTTTACAGGACATTGTGTCCTATAGCATCATATGTGTCAGATCCTACAGGACTGATGGATAAGAAATAAGCCATTTTTAATCATTCCTTGTAACATGTAGACCTACAAGTGAAAACACAATTATGTCCCATGTTGAACACTTGCCTCATTTTGACATTAGTAATGATTATAGTGTGGCATTGTTGATGTTCTAAAAGACAACCATGTAAATCTGTAACAGTTGTACATATTAAATTGTGTAAATTGAATGTAAAGAATAGCTGCGAAACTATGTGGAATGTCAAAAGTTCGCTGGCCCTGCTAAGGGCAGTTTGTTCCACCGTGAGTGCGCTGGTAGAATTTCCTCCTTTGAAGTAGACCAAGTCTTTATGGCTGTTCAGCTGGTTTGTCCAGCCGGTAATGTGGTGCTGCATGCACCTGTAGGAACAGCTGCCTACGGCATGGTTGCTGGAGAGTTGCGGCAACCATGTTAGCTGCCTGGTTGCAGAGCATGGTTGTTGGAGAGTTGCAGCAGCTACGTTAGCTTTCTAGTAGCAGAGCGCAGTTGCTGGAAACTTGCGGCAGCTGTCTTTGGCGCAGTAAACACCTCATGAGTCTGATGATTGATCGCTCTGAACTGAATGTGATCACTGATGATTGCGAGCTTTGGGCTCCGCTTTTATGCCGTGCTTGCTGGGCAGAGCTTAAACTTGCAATTGCGATTGTGAGCGCTGATTGGCTAGTGCACGTGAAGATCTACAGTTGGGCTGGACATCGAGTGCTATATAAATACAAGTGGTGGCAGCAACGTGCGGCAATGTGATATTGACTATGAGTGAGTGCTGTCTGTTAGACTGGTGAAACCGCGTGTTAATATGTGGGATGTTCCCAAAGTAGTAAACATTCCCACTCTCCAGCCTTGATGGGTTAGGCCCTCTGATGAAGATTTGCATATATTGATGTGCACACATTGAACTCGACTCGAACGTAACTTGCAAAATATTTATAATAGCAAAAATGTTCAGGAAAAAATCTATAGAGAAAAATGAAACACATTTTACGCACAGTACACTTTTCCATGAGTATGAAGGTTTTTGATTGCCTCTGTGGTCTAGTGGTCAGAGTTTGATTCCCGGCGCTACCAGATCTTTTCTGAGAAGTAGTGGGTCTGGAATGGGGTTCACTCAGCCTCGTGATGATAATTGAGTTGCTATCTCAAGGAAATAGTGGCTCTGGTCTAGAAAACCGAAAGTTAACGGCCATGGGGATTGGTTGTGCTGACCACGCAAAACCCTCTATCTGCAAAAGTTGGCACTATTATTTTTTTATTTTTTTATTGCTATTGGGTTGTGACTAAGTCCCTTGTACTGCGGCCACTTCTGGCCTATTGTACCAGCCCCAGATGATAGGTGAGGTTGATTGTGGAGCAATTGATGGAATGAAGATTGGCAGGGGAAACCGAAGTACTCAGAGAAAACTTGCCCCAGTGCCACTTCGTCCACCACAAATCCCACTTGGCCAGACCTGGATTTGAACCCGGGCCGCCGCAGTGGGAAGCCAGCGACTAACCGCTTCAGCTATGGTGTGGCCTTAAAAGTTAACACTAACTTTGCCGACAAACGGCAGTTGCTCGGTCAGCATAGTTCACTTGCGGACTAAAATCATGGAGTTTGACCAAGTGGGTCAACATTTTTACAGTATTCATACATTTCCTGACGGCTTTCATTCTAGACACTAGTTTGTATCTCATTTGTATGCATACCAAGTTTGAGATCTTAATTTCATCTGGAAGTAGCTTAATAATGGGTATCAGATGGCCGAGATGTAAACCCTTGAGAAATTTATTATTCAGTATAATAATGTAAGCGTAATTTGCAAAGAAATTAAATTTAATCCTTTTTTTTTTTATAATGAAGAGATTTATATGTTGTTCCAGGAAAGTCCCGAAGTTCTGCCATCAGTCAGCTGATTTTAATGAATGCCTCACAATCAGTGGTGAAGTTAATAATGCAGCAACAAACGAAGGATGCGTTACTACCTGATACCTTCATGCTGGAAATCATGTGGCTGTTGGCTCAGTTGGCACAACGAGGTAATGGAAATATCAAGCAAAATTAAATTTTGTTTCTGCTGTTGAGGTATATGCAGTTCATAGTAAATATAAGCTAGAATTTCAAATATGCTACATGCCAGTGTTAGAGTCAGAACAAGAGTTGGAGTGTATGAACCCAGACCCTGCGTTAGAGAGTGTATAGCTGCCAATCTGCTGAACACAGGATTTCCTTCAACGTTTTGACCACTCTTCCTGGTGCCTGAGCATTCTTAAATTTGTTGGATTTGAGTGGTGATTTTTAAAAGAACTTTCTTCTGGGATGTGACACCATGTACTCCCAGATTACACAGCATCACATCACAGAAGACTGAAACAGAGATTGTACTATATACTGAAAATCAGTGTTCCTATTGTAAGCAACACTGTCATTCAAGATGAAATGGTTTAAAATCCTATTGACACATTTGTGATGTGTATTCCTTTCCTGTTAATGTACTGGACAACTTTGCAATGCTGAATTAAAGCTGTTGATTTTATTCATGTGAAACATACATTATCTTGATGCACAGTCTTGAACTCTTTCGCTGCTCAACTATTCATTAGAAAAACATTCTCCTACTAATATACCCATTATAATTCATAAATTAAGTTTATTTGCCTGCAGTTCCAAGAGATGGCAGAACAGATTTGTTTCTGCTGATATGACACATGGAAGATATATGTGGAAGAAAGACAAGATTCTAAACTCAGTCTTGCGCATAACACAGAAAGATTTAATGATTCATATTAAGTTGTTTTTGTTTTCCTTGATTCAGTATTTATGACAAACTTTCATACACATCTTATCATTTATTTCCCACGCTGTATATGCTTTTGCATGACTCTTCATCTTTAAATCTTGCATGGATTGCAGAAAAGTCCTTAGGACAGGTGAATGACTATGGATTATGGATATAGTTTTGGTTATTCAAAAGGGAAGCACACATCTGAGGGAGATTTTTTTGCAATAATGGACATTCATTCATTCATTTCCTTTATTTTCCATATATCCATACAGGCAAAAAACCTAAGATGTACATGTACCTATGATTGTCAGATATTTTAAAATGTCACAGATTCTTAACATATGCATTTAGTTTTTACATTTTTCAGAGACAAGTGAAATTTGAAGGTGTTTTGTGCAAGCACTTTTTTTTTTGGGGGGGGGGGCGATGTGCACTCATTTATGATGATTGGATCAAGAAAAATTAAGCACGTGGGACATGTAGCAAACATGAGGGAAATGAGGAGTGTAAGATAGTATCGAAAACCTGAAGGAAAGAGACCACTTGGGATAAGTAGGCAGAGATGGGAGGATAATATTACAATCTGTCTGAGATTAATAGGGTGCAGAAATGTTAACTGGATTCATCTGGTTCAGAATAAGCTCCAGTGGCTGGTTTTCGTGAATGTGGTGATAAAACTTCAGGCGCTTTAAAAGCAAGGACTCTATAGATCAACTGATTAACTATGAACTTCTCAAGGAAGACTCTGTGCTATTGGATTCATTCAAATACAGTGTCCAGTGGCATCTAGTGACATTTGTTTCAGATATTAGACCTTCACTCGGAGAATTCTATTTCTTACTGGACCAGAGAGCAGACTTTTCTGTTCATCGATAGACGCCTTCATCTCTAATAAAGTCAGAATTCTTGGAATGAGAAGAGTACCGTCCCATTCCCCCATGCTTGAGAGCCCATGTTAAAATCTAGGTCTCCTGTGCCAGAAAACAATTTCATGATCATCTCATCATTGTGACAGAGTCTGCCCATTAGGTGCTCAAAAATGGATTCTATGCTGCTCCCTAGGTGAGCAGAACCCAGAGAAGTCAATGCTGATCATATCTGGTGGCACTGGAAGACATCAGCAACATTAGTGATAATGACATCTTTGGTTAATAAAGCACATTTTTGAAGATGGCTCTGCTTCTGCTATCATGTAAACCTGATTAACAAATATGAGATAATGAAAAATATGTAATATATGTGTCAGTTTAGTGTATACATTATTCACCTCAAATAATACCGTACTGCCAATGTCACTTTCATATAAAATATACTGAATTGAATGAAGGATATGTGTTCAAATATGAATAATGATTCTTGTTGTCACTAATCCTTTCCATGTTGTGCATGAAATATCTCAGTTAGAAATATTTTCAGTTATGTTCTAAATTTATGTAATATTTGATGAGATCAGTCAAAGGAATACATCCCACTGTCCATCAACAGTCAGAACTATTTGAGGCCTTTCAGCAACATATTATTTATTAAAAAATATGTTATCAGGATAATTTTTAATTTATTAGAATTGAGCATGAGGGTTAGCAGTGTTTTCACAGCAGTTATGCTGGAGGATTCTCTTCAGAGTGACCTTTATTTTGGACATGCATAACCTATATTAGATGAGTGTGCATATTTTAACTCATTAGAACACTAACACAGTACTGAGAAAATTTACTGTAACAAAACAAAAGTGTTACCATTCATAGAATTAGATGTATGAATTTTGTCTAGGATGTTTCCAGTCATTGTTACATTATTATATGACATGTCTGGAACTATGTGCTGAACTTTTCAGTATGTTACTGAGATGATAATGGAGATGCTAAGTAGCATGATTGATGGGAGTCAACATTACCTTTAGAAACGGAATCAAAATTTGTTTTCGTAACAGTTCCATTCTTTTGTTTGCAGATGAATGAGAGTGCTGACATTTTCTGCAACTTGCACATGGTAGCTATCCTGCAGCCCATCCATTGCTTCCCACATGTTTGTTAAAGTCTACATGCCTCATGAGTTATATGTTTGGACATATAGCACCATTTTTGTTAAATGTATTACAGTTTTCCAGTATATATATTTTAAAATTGTTTATGCCTGCATGAATCTGGTACATCCTTAACAGAAGTGTTCCCCCATAAAGTGGTCTGTGGACTTCTGCCAGTCCATGGCTTAACTGATGCCATAAAATTTGTAGTTAGTGTTATGTGTGTTACTACAATTTGAAAGATCACTATTTTAAGACTAATGACTTTTTTTTCATTCTTCATTTCATTTTAATGACTAGATAATTTGTGTTGAATATCGCTGTTTTCTTTTCATCCCTTCCTTTTGTGGCATTTAGTAATGTGACTGACCAATCGGTAAGGAAAAGGACAATAAGTCTTGTGGTAATCTGCTGTAGCTCCCAGAAACAGAGAGATGGGGATAGTTTTCAAGATCAAAATTCTTGGAATGCATGACTGGCAGCCAAGATTATTTCATATGTCCAATGCATAATTTTATAATTTTGAAAGTTTTGTATCAGTGATGTGGCATCACTGTCATTTTAATACTGCAGAGACATTCACTTTTGTATTGTGAATAAATATGTTTAAACATGTCAGTATAATTACATCTGTAGACTGTTACCTCTTTTGGATTGAGATCTTCACAGCAGGGACTATGAAGAGTTCTGTCTTCTGGGATATAACACCATGTAGTCTGATAGAAGTTTACTTCTACTGGATTACAAGGCATCACATCCCAGTACTCTGTAACCTGTCTCAACTTAATTAGGAAGGTAGGGCACCAGGCTATTGATGGTAACTTACTGCTGTTTTAGCAATACATGAGTCAGAGGAGGTTGGGAACCATTGCTTAACATAGTAGAATGCACTGAATATCAGGAAATATTGTGCTGTTAAGACCTACACCTTTTTTTAAAAAATGTGTCTTCCTATCATAATGTTTGCCTATAGTCATTTGGTCTCTTTCTCTGTCACTTATAAACATGCAGACATATTCCCTCATATGAATGTGCACTCTTTCCACACACATACATGCAATATTCACAATATGTTAGTAATTGTGGATACAGGTTACTGTAAATTCAGTGATACCTGTAGAAAACTGCTGAACAGAATATCTCCCACAAATTTCTAGCAATTAATTAATATGAATGTCCTGTCAGTTATCAGTTTCTTAGATCCACTTTAGAGTCAGTAATTTCTGAAATTGCTTGCTTGTTGTGTCACAATCTCTAACAAAGTCATGTGTAATGCTTACATTTTGGCCTGCATTAGCCTATATTACATACATTTTGTTTACATTTTTATTAAACTTCAAAAACAATATAAACAATAACAGGATATAATCTCTAAACTGACATATTACCCATACAAATTAGTGCACTATGAGAAATAAACTATGAATCATAACTGGAAAGAGGGTTAGACATGGGTAGATAACAGCCACTTAGTTCCAATGCACTTCATTTTGGGGACATCATAACAGTTTTTCCAATAATGATACATGTAGAAAGAAATTCATGATTCTTGGTTTTAGTAATTTCCTTTTAATGTGTGTTGGTCATTTCTCTGGGCTTTCTTGTTTATCTGGAGCTTCTTCATAGTTTTAAACTGGGGCATCTCCCTCGTTCTGAGAAGCCATTTTCAGCCTGCAGCGAATCATTTTTAAATATCTCCAAACTCGGGTTCATAGACAGGAAGGATGTGACATCACACATTTCTATTATCTACCACTGTGGTACTGCATAATAATAAGGTTTTATGCGTTAATCCATAAATGCTTTCAGTGATGAAACCATTTGGATATGGATTTTTCTACATATATCTTCTGTGGTCTAGCAACCACCAGACAGAGGGCCCACAAAACTACAGATAGGAAGGAGTGTATATTATAGAAAAATCTGTCATTTACAATAACTGTTGGTTCCAGGAACCTGTTTAGTAACATTGTCTTTAAAATAACTTTTAAAGACAAAGTGACTATGTTCTCCAGAACACTGGGAAAATGGCCCACCACAACCACTGTTTTCATTCAAGAATGGAAATGGCATAGCTGCAAACTTTGGTGAAAGCTGAAGACACCAATAATATCCTTATTATTATTATCAGTTCTCCGGAAGTGTTGAAGAAAAACATTAAGTCACAAAAGGCATTGAGATATGTTTCATGAAGCAGACACTCTTAACATAAATGTTAAAATGTAGACTGTGGAAATGCATGGTAGGCTTTTAGGTTGTTTGTACATTAAAACTGTCTTTTGTTATAAAAGCAAGACCCATTAAAATAATAATATATATGTATGTGCTGAATTCAGAAAGAGAAGCTTAGATACACAGAGCAGATTTAACACCATGTGTTACCAATTACCCTATGCACTGTTTTAATGGTGCATGGATACTTACCGTGAAAAGAAAACTGTAGGAAAGCTTTTACAAAATATTATGTTTGAAATAGTGTCAAACCACTGAAATAACTTTTGGGCCATCAGTGGATTATTATGAGCTTATTATGAATATTAAGGCAATGGAAGCAAACCAGATTTTGTACCTTTTTATTCTGTACCATCAGTTATATCAAAAATGGAATTATAAATTTTTTTTGTGGATGACACTAATGTCACTGAATTTAGAATCCTAAAATATTATGTTTTAACATAATTGAAAAATAGGCAGGTTTTATATATTTATTTATTTAAATTTGTAAGGCTGCATGGTAACTGAAATTTTGTTTGGAGTTATGTCATCTGCAGACATACAGATTCTAAATATGATAATGGTAGAAGCTTTCACACAGTTCAAATGATGACAAAGATAGCTCACAAAGTCGTATGATTATTAACTTATAAATCCTGTTTGCCTTTGTATGGAAGCATTTCAAGTAAATCAGACATCGGAAATTGTTCTCGGAACAGTTGAATCATTTTTTATTTAACACTATCTTTTCAACTACCTACATTGTGTAGTGTTAAACTGTAGGATGATTAGAGAATTTTGAATTGGGCAGGGTGTGGAAGGAAGTGCTCAGGATTTTCATAATATGAAGTACTCAACACAAGATTCAGTTTCAAGAACAAAAAATCTGATATTTGGTTTGAGCATTGGTACTAACCAGAATCACAACAAGAACAAAATAATTGAAATAACGTGCCCTCCCATCAAAAAGAAATAAAATTTGCAAAAGGAACTCGCTGATATTGATTAATTGTAGTATTCATAGCGTAGTTGGTTGAGGGGCTATGCTACAAGCCGGAAGGTTGCAGGTTCAAGTCCCGATGAGGTCATTGGATTTTTTCAATTGACCTAATCTTTCTATCTGCACTATGGCCCTGGGGTTCACTCAGCCTCTAACAGAAATGAGTACCAGGATTAATTAAATAATTTTCCTGGGGAGTAAAGCGTGGCCAGTGCATAAATCTGACAACCTTACCATCATCTTTGAGCTGATTAGACAATGTTGGACCCTCAACATCTCACAACCCTATGGGCCTTCACGGCCTGGTATAGGAATAGCTTTACTTTTTTTTTCCATTACTTTTTTTTATTCAGTGAAATTTTATTGTATCTGGAAAGAAAACAACAAATAATTTGTATTAGCTAAAAAGGAAATATACTATCCAAGAATTAATTCTATTTTGACACTGATGATTTAAACCTTCGTGCTATTTGCAAGTTTTTTCTATGTGTTGTTTTGAGGTAAAATTGATGCCCATGAATAAAATAATACATACAAGACAAACACGATATTGAACACACAGATTTCATATCAGAAGTATAGCAGTAGCAACAAAGAAAGAGCAATCATGAACTGCAGGAGATGAATATAGCATAAATATTTAATTACTAAGGCAAAATAGTACTGTATATGATATTGATAAGCAACTAAATACCTTATTACACTTACTGAGCAAGGACATTATGTGTTGAAAGTGTAATGATCATTTTAAGGGATGCATGCAGCCCATGAACCTTGTGAGTATGACTGGATTAGAGCTTGCTGATCCTTGCTGTGGTTAGCACTGCTCCTATTCTCTCCTGTGTGTGTGCCTGTGTGTGTGTGTGTGTGTGTGTGTGTGGAATGAGCTTGTATTGTGATTTTGTGCATAATGTGCATTCAAGTAAGGACAACTTTCTCATAAAAATAACAAATGGATTCATATCTTTGAGGAATGGTGTCTGGTAATGTATTTGTTTTACAGATTCCAAATTTTCAGTGAAGACTCGATTGGTTGGGGCTACTAAAACATTCCATAATTTGTTGAAAACTTACTACAATCACAATAAACTATTATACCCAGTTCTACTTGTGATCAAGTGTTTGGCCAGAAGCTGTAAGTGCTTATTCAGTCATATGCATGATCAAATATAGGCCAGTTTGTTCACGCTAGAACATTAATATTCTTAAAATCCTTTAAATGGATGTCATTATACTGAGAGATACTTTTAAGTAACTAATTCCATGGAACATATTCCTGCACATAAGAAAAATAACAGATGGATTTTGAAATAACAGTGTTATTACTCACATATTGTTGTTTTTCAGCAATATATATGTCTTTGGATTTCTGTGCCATGAATAAAAACCCCATAAAAAATTTCATAGCTGACAAGTCTCTGAGATCACAACCCTATTGTTTCTTTAGTATTTAGTATTGACCAGTATATTGTGTTTACACAGTGTGGCAGTCTTGAGCCTTCAATTATGATATGCTCATAATAATGACAACAGTTGTCCCCATTTCAGTTCATATTCATCATTAAGATATTGGAGAAAAATGGACAGTTTTATAAATATTTATTTGTATTTTTAGGTTAATATGCAGAAGAAAACAGACTGCTAATACAGAGTGCCTAGTATAGTAGGCAGTTATTTCACAGTGAAATATCAATATTTGTACGTGGCCCATAGCTCCAGTCACACTTGATGTTTCTGCTCATGATTTGATTATAGTGGAATTCTCATTTAATATTCTTAATTTTAAGTTTTTGCTCAATTAGTGTTAAATTTTAGTGATCCAAAGTCAGTAATATCAGTGTTAAATTTCCTCCATATAATATTTTCCTCAGTTTATTGTGCAAATCCACTGCTCCCCAAAAAAACCTGAAATGGGGAGGTTACTATAGGTATACTGTACCTTTATATCCTCATTTTCTCTTTGTTAAACTAGTGAATTCTATTGTTATGTTTTATGTTACTGGACTTGTTTATTTCACTTTTATGTGATTTCACATTATGCTCTTTCTAAAGCTTCCACAACATCAGTTTTGGTTAGAGATGGAATAGTAGCTACTATGGAGAAGATCATTGTCAGCAATGGGTTCACTCCTAATTCCAAGCTCAGATTATCATTAAATGTGATCAACTATCTCACCAAAAACAGTAAGAATATTTTAATCTTTCCACAGAAATAGATTTGAAAGTGGCAATGTGCAGCTCATTATTAGTGCATGTCTAAATGTTTAAAATATTGTTACGTCCTACAAAAGTACATACTTTGTGATAATGCATGGTTTTATTTCATATTTAGTGATATAATTCATAATGTTCTGTTACACAGTCAATAAAAGAAAGCACTGCCTACAAATTATACATTGTTTCATGTGTTTAAAAGTACCAGAATGGTGACTCTGCAAACTTACAAAAACCCTCACGGGTTTCTGAAGTATGTAACTTATAAAAGACAGTTTTTCTTATTGAGCTCTGCTGCATGATATATATTGATATATTTTTAGGACTCTGCTGTGTTCGAACAGTAAAGAGTGGATTGCTGGTGGTCTTGTTACGAATATTTGAACGCTGGGAACGCTATGAAGGAAAAATATGTCTGAAGATTTGCAGCTATATTCTTACCACACTACAACACCTTTGTTCTACAAGTGAGTTGAATTTCCATGTAATGGAACACATTTGTGAACTAATTATAATAACTGTTTTAAGTAATGTAAAGGCACTCTGGAACTCAGCTGGTGGTTCACAGGCCAAATAGAGCCCTTTGCTACTTGTTTGAGGAACACCGAGATAACTTACACTAACAATAAAATTTGCATCCAAAGTAAGAAGTCTCTCATTAATTTTGGTTTCAAGAGCTTTTTTTATAAACTATGTGATAGGTACTTATGTATAATTTAGGAACTAAAAACAACTTATTTGTGGGGCATGCGTTAGCATAGTTGGTTGAGGAATGAGGAACTATGCTACAAACCGGAAGATCGCAGGATTGAATCCCATTGAGGTCCCTGGATTTTTCAATTGACATAATCCTTCCAGCCACACTGTGGCCCTGGGGTCAACTCAGCCTCTAACAGAAATGAGTACCAGGAATTTTCCTGGGGGGGTAAGGGGCAGCCAGCTCATAAGGCTAACAACCTTACTGCCATCTGTGAGCCGAATGTCTAGAAGATGTGGGAGCCTCAACCTCTCACCCTCCTATAAGCCTTCACAGCCTGTCACAGGAATAGCTTTACCTTTTCTCTTTAAACAACTTATTTAAAAATGTGATAAATATCAAATACATCATTAAAATTAAGAGAAAATATTCTTAAGGAAATAGTTGTACATTACGTACAATTCTCTGCATGATGAGGCTCCAACTATTCCATTAATTATTGAGCCTCCTTTACAGTTATATAATGAAACATCGTAATTTGCTATTTGTCAACGGATGCATATGTGAGGTGGAACCAACGACTGATTCGATGTTGCAAAACATCAATTNTTATACTGAGAGATACTTTTAAGTAACTAATTCCATGGAACATATTCCTGCACATAAGAAAAATAACAGATGGATTTTGAAATAACAGTGTTATTACTCACATATTGTTGTTTTTCAGCAATATATATGTCTTTGGATTTCTGTGCCATGAATAAAAACCCCATAAAAAATTTCATAGCTGACAAGTCTCTGAGATCACAACCCTATTGTTTCTTTAGTATTTAGTATTGACCAGTATATTGTGTTTACACAGTGTGGCAGTCTTGAGCCTTCAATTATGATATGCTCATAATAATGACAACAGTTGTCCCCATTTCAGTTCATATTCATCATTAAGATATTGGAGAAAAATGGACAGTTTTATAAATATTTATTTGTATTTTTAGGTTAATATGCAGAAGAAAACAGACTGCTAATACAGAGTGCCTAGTATAGTAGGCAGTTATTTCACAGTGAAATATCAATATTTGTACGTGGCCCATAGCTCCAGTCACACTTGATGTTTCTGCTCATGATTTGATTATAGTGGAATTCTCATTTAATATTCTTAATTTTAAGTTTTTGCTCAATTAGTGTTAAATTTTAGTGATCCAAAGTCAGTAATATCAGTGTTAAATTTCCTCCATATAATATTTTCCTCAGTTTATTGTGCAAATCCACTGCTCCCCAAAAAAACCTGAAATGGGGAGGTTACTATAGGTATACTGTACCTTTATATCCTCATTTTCTCTTTGTTAAACTAGTGAATTCTATTGTTATGTTTTATGTTACTGGACTTGTTTATTTCACTTTTATGTGATTTCACATTATGCTCTTTCTAAAGCTTCCACAACATCAGTTTTGGTTAGAGATGGAATAGTAGCTACTATGGAGAAGATCATTGTCAGCAATGGGTTCACTCCTAATTCCAAGCTCAGATTATCATTAAATGTGATCAACTATCTCACCAAAAACAGTAAGAATATTTTAATCTTTCCACAGAAATAGATTTGAAAGTGGCAATGTGCAGCTCATTATTAGTGCATGTCTAAATGTTTAAAATATTGTTACGTCCTACAAAAGTACATACTTTGTGATAATGCATGGTTTTATTTCATATTTAGTGATATAATTCATAATGTTCTGTTACACAGTCAATAAAAGAAAGCACTGCCTACAAATTATACATTGTTTCATGTGTTTAAAAGTACCAGAATGGTGACTCTGCAAACTTACAAAAACCCTCACGGGTTTCTGAAGTATGTAACTTATAAAAGACAGTTTTTCTTATTGAGCTCTGCTGCATGATATATATTGATATATTTTTAGGACTCTGCTGTGTTCGAACAGTAAAGAGTGGATTGCTGGTGGTCTTGTTACGAATATTTGAACGCTGGGAACGCTATGAAGGAAAAATATGTCTGAAGATTTGCAGCTATATTCTTACCACACTACAACACCTTTGTTCTACAAGTGAGTTGAATTTCCATGTAATGGAACACATTTGTGAACTAATTATAATAACTGTTTTAAGTAATGTAAAGGCACTCTGGAACTCAGCTGGTGGTTCACAGGCCAAATAGAGCCCTTTGCTACTTGTTTGAGGAACACCGAGATAACTTACACTAACAATAAAATTTGCATCCAAAGTAAGAAGTCTCTCATTAATTTTGGTTTCAAGAGCTTTTTTTATAAACTATGTGATAGGTACTTATGTATAATTTAGGAACTAAAAACAACTTATTTGTGGGGCATGCGTTAGCATAGTTGGTTGAGGAATGAGGAACTATGCTACAAACCGGAAGATCGCAGGATTGAATCCCATTGAGGTCCCTGGATTTTTCAATTGACATAATCCTTCCAGCCACACTGTGGCCCTGGGGTCAACTCAGCCTCTAACAGAAATGAGTACCAGGAATTTTCCTGGGGGGGTAAGGGGCAGCCAGCTCATAAGGCTAACAACCTTACTGCCATCTGTGAGCCGAATGTCTAGAAGATGTGGGAGCCTCAACCTCTCACCCTCCTATAAGCCTTCACAGCCTGTCACAGGAATAGCTTTACCTTTTCTCTTTAAACAACTTATTTAAAAATGTGATAAATATCAAATACATCATTAAAATTAAGAGAAAATATTCTTAAGGAAATAGTTGTACATTACGTACAATTCTCTGCATGATGAGGCTCCAACTATTCCATTAATTATTGAGCCTCCTTTACAGTTATATAATGAAACATCGTAATTTGCTATTTGTCAACGGATGCATATGTGAGGTGGAACCAACGACTGATTCGATGTTGCAAAACATCAATTAGGTTTTAATTTTGTTTTTTATATAAGACTTTTATTGGTTTTGAATAACCTATATTTTATATTCTTATTATAATTGTCTTAAATGATTTACATGCTGCAGTTCAGTGGTGTATGTTTGTTGCAGTGTATTCATCTGAGGATGGCCACTAGTGGCCGAAACATGTAGTGAACTGTATCTGGGCTTTGTCCCTGAGTTCTTTGATTGTTGTGTTGTGACGGCCAAATAAATAAGTTGTATGTTTCATGACTGTATTCACAAGATCCTACCACTAAGCCAGTTTATTCTAGTCCCAGTAATATTTGATGAAGAGCAGAAATTATGAAATTCTTCTTCATGGAATTTTTTCTGTGCTGTGTGACTTGTCCCTTAGGTGAAAATACTCTCCACATTGCTTCATTCTCACACATTCTCAGTCTGTAGTCTTCCTTTGTGGTCAGAAACCAAACATCACATTCTTATAGAACAAGGGTCTCCAAACTACGGCCCGCGGGCCACATCCGGCCCATGAAAGAATTGACTGTGATGCTGCAGATGTCCCAAGTCAAATTTAAATGGAAATTATTGAACTTCAGGAAAATTATCATATTAAAGACAAATACAAGGAAGGAAATTTGATCGAATTTTATAAATTTCTGAACTCTGAGCAATTTCCAAATTTAAAGAAATTTGCTTGTAAATTTATCTCGATTTTTGGGACGACATATCTGTGTGAATAAACTTTTTCGCAGATGAAGTACATCAAGTAGAAATACAGGGCAAATTTATCCGATGAACGTTTCAAGTCGCTACTTGTGATTAGCGTTTCAAAATTTGAACCTCAATTTAATCAGATTTTAAGAATGCAAAAAGAGTTCCATCATTCACCTTAATTGTTTTATTATAATTTGTGATGAAAATATGAGCATTTGCTGCTACTGTCTGTTGTCATTAATATATGATAATTTATTCTCACGTGCTTTGTATTTAGTTTATAAAATTCTGTACTTTCGATAAAACTCATATACCTAGAGTTATTAATTTCTCATTTTATACGGCCCGTTGAAAGTGCTGAATTACCTAATGTGGCCCATGTTTTGAAAAGATGGAGACCCCTGCTGTAGAACAGTAGGTAAATTAATGTACTTATGTATGTTTTAATATTTATGCTTCTAGACAGGAAACAAAATAATAAAATACTGTGAACTAAATGGTAACAAGCATTGCCTGAATTAAATCTGCTCTTACTTCCATTTTGAATGTAATTTTGTTTTGATATTGTTCCTAAATATTTGAACATTGCCAAACTTTCAAAGAATTTATTAGCTGTCTTTATATTATTATCATTTACTGACATTCTGCTGATGAGACCTGAACATGTAGTTAGTTTTCTCTATGTTTACTTCTAGGCAAATCTCTGTAGCAGCACCTAACAGAGATCAAGAGGAACTTAATCGTCCTTTGTATTGATTTGCAGAAATTGGCCGTAAAAATGTTTGTACACTTAATGGTATGAACTTACTTCATAAATTCAGTATACACTGCCCAGAAGACAAAAGTTATGATTCACTCCTTGCCCGTGTGTGCTATATCATTAACATATGTCTGGATAGGAAGCAGCTACCTGTACAGACTATATCAAGTCCAGCAACTTTCACCTTGCCAACCCTAAAGGAAGTCTACAGTTGTAGTGAAATGGCTATTACAGGTAGGTCTTTTATTCTCCAGTGTCTCATAAAGCAGCCGTTCTTAGTCTTTTTCTTTTCTGCAACCCCTCTTCAGATTCTTTGAAATCCCCTGTCCATTATATCCCTTGTGATGGTTATAGGAAGTCAGTAGTAATATTTTGGTTATGAGAATTAATGTTTATATGGCGGTGAAAGACTGGGTTGTGATGTGTAGATGTATACCAACATTTCCGAGGAGCCTGCTGACTTCGTCTTCAGGGTCAAAGTGAGTAGGTCTAGAATTTGGATGAGATGTACAGGAAGAGTGGAATGGATCAGACCTAGAAGCACAAAGAGGTAGGTCTTTTTTGTAGTTTACTTAACAATGCTATCAGTTTTTATGGTAGACATTGCTCTTGACCATTGCATCCTGTAGCATGAGTAAAACTAGGATTACGAAGTGTTATTGGGAAGTTCCTGGACTAGGTCAAAAAAGAAGCTTACACAATTTTGGCTGCCATCTCATTCAAAATAATCTCCTTCAGAATATATACAGTGATCCCATCGTTTTTTCCATGCTTCAAAAGCACCGTGGAAGTCATTTCCCTTAATGCTGTTGCGTACCGCTTGTGATTCCCTTTGGGTGTCAGACACTGTTTCAAAATGTTGCCTTTTAAGTTTCACATTCAATTTGGGAAACAAAGTGAAATCACGGGGGGCTAAGTCTGGTGAGTAGAGAGGATAAGGAATGTAACCCCGTTGTTACCCACAAACTCTGTGGTTTTCAGGGATGTGTTGGAGGGTGCGTTGTTGTGATGAAGGAGGAATGTGGCGCATGTTCATATTTTCTGTTAAGATCTCCTGGCAAACTCCATAACTGATCACAGCAGTGTCTGCTAGCTTATGGATTGTTTGGCGATGGTCTTCATTGATGGGTTCTTGAATTTTTTCACCTTAGTCACCTTGAACGTTTGTCTTCTTCAGCTGACACTCAGCTGGCCTTGAAACGTGAATGTCATTCAAAAACCACTGTCCAGCTTAAAGAATGTTCACCAATAGCCTCATGGAACATTTCAAGGGTCACAGTAGCAGATTTACTTAGCTTCACGCTGAACTTGATGCAGACACGTTGCTCGATTTTGCCATTCATCTCAGACATAATGAAACACAAAGTCGAAAAAGCACTCTTGTAAAAACTGTGTATATTCACAGCATGGTGTCACGTAGCAGATTGATGCAATAGGGTTATGGAAGTGGGACCTTGGCTTCCCCTCTCATCTTCTTTCACCAAGACAGTTACAACCGTAACAGTCTGGGAACTTACTGATACCATGTTGTAAATTCCATCAAATACAATATTGGTTTTAATAAAAAAAATAAAACGTTTACAAGTTTTGGCCAATGATGGCCATCATTGGAAGGCTTCACAGCAAGTCTGCTCAACAAAAATTCTCTTACTTTTAAAAAACATATTTTCAACAGAAGTGTTTTAACCCTTACAAGACAACCCATGCATGTCATACATGTGAAGCATTTCCTTCAAAGTGTTGGTTACTTTTGAATGATGGCCATCATTGGCTGAAACATGTAAAGGCTTTATTTTATTATTAAAAAACGTTGCATTTGATGGAATTTAATTATAATTTTACTAACATTATCAGTAACTCAGACCATATAACATTAAATGATTGGATGACAGTGAATGATGAATTGAAAATGGTGTAAATGAAAGTGGTCATGGCCTAATTTAAGGTAATGTCCTGCCATTCTCCTGAGGGGACTGAAGAAAAGCATGAAAAAACCAGTCATATTCAGTGCCCTAGCTGAGATCGAGCTTCTAAGTGCCTGAGTCAACTTGCTTTGTAATAGGCCAATCAGAAGGGGAGAGGAGAGGAGCCCTGTCTGGGCTGTTGGTAGTGGGGGACAAGAAGGGCTGTTATCAGAATTACTGCAAGGGAAGAAAGGAAGATTTCTTCCTGGGCTGATACCAAAAAAAAAAAAAGTTGATTTTCATGACCAGTACAGGGAAGGGTCAAGTGAAGAGGAAATACATGTTTTATCCTTAGAAAGAACCTTCTTCCTTGAGTATGAATTAGAGGCAACCATGATATGCTCAGAGAGAAACCGTGTCTCCTGTTAATGTTGTTAGGGTGGAGCTGGCTGTCCATTGCTTATTTATTTATTAAATAAGTTCATGTTGCAACACACAGAGCATAGTGTAGAGAGTGCATGTAGCTTTCAGTACAATAAGGTATGCAATATAGCCTTTATTTTTTAACAATAATATTCACTGGTTGACGGAGTCTATGCACTTGAGTTAGAATGACTGGAATGTTGTTACAAATCTTGTATGTCACAGATTTCTACATGTCGGCTTGCCTGAGCATAAGACGTGAGTCGTAACTACTTGAATTTCTTCAGAAAATTCTAATCTGTTTTATTTTGGTTTCAACACACAACTGACAGCTGAGAAGCCTACATTATTTTCTTGACAGCTGGTAATAAATTATCATTACATAAAAGAAGTCTGTGTAATGTCTGTGGGAAAAGTAATTTTTATCCATGATGTTTCATATCCCCCACCGAAATCCTCTCTAGAACATCATAGGGCATTCGTTTTAGTGAATTACATTACATTTTATGGCTTGAGAAACATTTTTAATGTAGAATTCATTTCATCATCTAGAATAAAAGAGTGTTCCACAATTGTAAATATCCACATTAACATTTCACTGCTGTGCAGGTCTGATCCTTCCAGCATGTCAGATGTAAATGGTCACAGATTAATGGGTACTTTTTTGTCCCTTCCTTGTTAACACAGCATAGTGATCTTGGGTTCTAGGTAGATGGAAGCTGCCTGCAGATGGGGTGTTAGCTGCCATTACATTCAGTGATATATCCAGGACAGCTGACAAGGGGTGATTCTCAAGCTTTTAAGTTGGATATGGTCTAAGAATCCTTCAGCATGAAAGTCTTCTCATTAACAAAACTTTTACAAAAGATTGTAGATGGAGGAAAATGTCTCTGGTTCATGCCCATTTGTAGGCTTTGTTATTAGCACTGTTGAAGTGTCAGGTCATGCCAGCAGTTAATCATTGACTCAGTCAGTCAGTTAGTTAGTTTGGTAGTTCGACAATTATCTATCTAGGTAGTGATATATATAATAAACTATGTGGTAATTATGAGGGGGGACCCAAAAATAACCGGAAACGACCTGTTGCGCGCGCATGCTTTGTAGTTACGAGTTGTGCTGCTAGGTGATGTTAGCTGGGGGTCTCCCACGACTGTTAGTGTGCTGGCGTCAGTCTGAGTTAAGTGGTTTGTCTGTGGTGCTCTGTTGTGTGCATTCCTGTTTCAACCCTTTGGTGATTAGTGAGATAGCTGACCAGAAGGAACAAAGAGTGTGCGTGAAATTTTGCTTTCTGTTAGGGAAAACTGCACTTCACTCTTCAAGTCGCGGCAAACATTCACGCGGTTTTCTCTTTGGTCATCTCCAAGCAAGCAAGGAACAAATTTTGCAGACACCCGTCTCATGTGCAAACCTTCGGTTAAAATTCGCTGGACCGTGCTCCATGAGATGTTCGTTTCCTCAGAAAGTTGGTCAATGGTCTTTCGACGATCTTCATCAATTGCACGTTTGATTTTGGCAATGTTTTCGTCATTTCTTCCTGTCGAAGGACGCCCGGGGCGTGGCATGTCTTCTGTTGACATGTTGCCAGATTTGAAACGGGAAAACCACTCGTAGACCTGTGATTTCCCCAAAGCATCATCATTAAAGGCTTGCCGAAGCATCCCAACAGTCTCGGCTGCAGTTTTCCCTAACAGAAAGCAAAATTTCACACACACTCTTTGTTCCTTCTGGTCGGCCATCTCACTAATCGCGAAAGGGTTGAAACAGGAACGCACACAACAGAGCACCACAGACAAACCACTTAACTCAGACTGACGCCAGCTCACTAACAGTCGCGGGAGACCCCCAGCTAACATCACCTAGCAGCACAACTCGTAACTACAAAGCATGTGCGCGCAACAGGTCGTTTCCGGTTATTTTTGGGTCCCCCTTCGTATATAGCTAGATAGTGAGTTTTATAAGAAGCTTGTATTTTACTTTTTGCTGTAGCTTTCTGATAGACTGTCAGACCATTAGATTTATTATGCTATTGTTTTTAGGAAAACATGCTGCTTCATCTCATGAGGCAAGCCCAGGATCTGATGAAGATAGCTATGAAGATTTCATGCAAGACAAAAATGTTAATAGTGATGATGATGATGATGAAGAAGTAGAAGAGGAAGAAGAAAAAGCAGAAGAGAGCAATGATGATGATTATTTTTATGAAGAAAAGAGTAAGAATAAAACCTGTAATCTAGGTCTTCCAATTCAACGAGGCGTAGAAGATATTACTGGGTATGTTTCAGTTCAGTAACCCTTACATTACACAATAATCAAATCAAATTTTGTCGCTTTCCTGAAAGCTGGCTGCTTGAGCAGATAAATTTGTATTTGATAGAGGGTTTCAGTGTTTGTATTTATAAAAACAGATAATTCAAGTAGTATGTATTACATCATTTCAGTTGTTTTTTTGAAGTCACATTTTACTAATTACATTGGTTGTGCTATACAAATCTTATAATTATGTATGATCAGTATCTCTCATACTTTATTTGACATAAGAACGTGCTGAACTTTATAGTGCATGTGATATTTTGTCACAGATGATGTCTCTTTTCTCTGCAGTGTCTTCTGTTGCCAAAATGTCTGATTTCTTTATTATTTAACCCCTCAAGCGTGTGCGACGCACCATTTGCGTCCGCTCAGTTACATACATATAGCGTGCATTTATGCGGGGGTATTTAAATCCCTCCCGGTGCTTTATTTTCGCAAGCATTGAAGGTTTTGTGCAGACATTTACCTAAATATTTTTAAATAACAAAATCGCTATTTGAAAAATTCCAAAAAATTATATTATATTTACAGTTGTTTACAGTTCATTATTATAAATGTCTATATACATTTTGTCAAGCTATTTCTTTTTCCCAGCTCTCCATATCCAGTGTGTAGTGGTTGACCTTGGTGTGGTATTGCTCAAAACAAGGGTCTAGGCA